GTACATATCTCATATCTCGAATAAATTTCATCCATCGGCCGTAACTCCCCGGTTTCTTCCCTAACCCCCGATCCTAGTCTCCGAATTCAAGCCTGCGCCCCTCGCTTCCAAGTCTCCTGCGACGCAATGTCCTGATGAACATAGATGACGGGCCTGCTACCTCTGGGAGCCTCGGCTCCTGGCGAGAACTGACACTTTGTCGTCAGCTCGGCGCGCTCGAGGTCCACAACGGAGGTATTGTCGCCAAGCTTGTCATACGTTCGACGGGGGTGGCGGATGCTGTGGCCGCCGCTGCTGCTCGTCAAGTCCTTGAGGTTGATCTGGCCGCCCTTGTCCGTTGACGGGTTCGTCAGCTTGGAGCCGAATTTGGAGACGGCCGGCTTGACATAGGTCTTGAAGAGAGGACCCAGGGTCGGCAGACATGCGATGATGATCCCGATCCAGAGCTCGAGGAGACTGACGAGGCCAATGTCGTGCAGGTTGTAGACAAAGTCGAGGTCACCGATGGTGGTGACCGTGTTGACTAGACGCCAAATCATGATTGCGATAGTTCTGGCATATAAAAGTTAGCTACTGCCTAGGGCTATGTAGAGAGAAGAGAAGGAGACAACTTACGCAAAACCCATGCCAAACATGGCGCTGACGGCGATCTTGTTCCTAAGGGGCATCTGAAGACCCCAGAGCGCCGGCATCGGCAGTGCGGTCATGGCGATGTCGACGACGATGTTGATGGTCACCGAGACGAGCTGGTCGACAGTGATATCGCGGCAGTGACCACCTTCGACCGGCGCCCACTGCTGAGACATGGGCGAGCATCTACTCATGAAGAGGATAAGGAACGCGACACCGTAGGCTCCCGTCACGCCCATGAGAATATGCGACCAGCGCTTGAACTTTGCCGTGGAAAATATTCTAGTGTACAGCCACAAGATGGCCATCTTGATGAAGACGGTTCCCAGAAGCCATGTGACACCACTGGCGAGGATGAGCTGTAAGAAAGCAAGTGTTAGAGATGGTTCAAGTAGATGGGATGAGATGTCTAACTTGCCTTGAACTGAACAGCATACTCATCCAGAGTCAACTCATTGGTGTGTTTGCCCAAGCCATTGTAAATAGCCCAAATGACAACACCCTCTAGCGCAACAATGTTGGCCTGCCATGGTCAGTCCTGTATCAAAGAAGGTAGGAGTGATGGACTTACAAAGGCGAAGATGATCATCCCGTCATCCCAATAGAATGATCTCCTCATCACCCTCGCTGACCAAGCTCGCAGACATAAAAACGAAGCATCGACAACGGTGAAGACAACAATCCAAACTAAGAGGCTAATGCCTCTGGAGCCGGCACCAGGCATAATGGGCGAAATGTGTTTCTGCTCTTCAAAGTGTGTAATGCAATTGGGCCCAGTCAGTTTGGTTTACTGCCTTAGCTTCAAATGCCAACAAGCAATGAGAGAGAGTTTCCGGATACCAGCCCGATAGACATCCGCCCTCGCGGCACAGCACGCGCGGGGGATGCCTTCATCTCTTATGGGGGGTGCGGGAACGACGCTCATCGCATCGAGAAGCCGCCGGGTGCCATGCCGCCACCCTGCCTTGCCTCTCCTTCCTCTCACACACACTCTCTTTTACTCTCATCCCACAAAGACGAAACGTGGTTCCCGCGTCTATCAATCACGGCCAGGAATCCCCAAAAAAGAAGTGGACGAAAGGGTGAGCTAGACGATGAGACACAAGTCGATGTCACCCTACTCTGCGGTAGTTCCCAGCTTATTGGTGTGTCTGCCGGCCACTTTGATACTAGTTTGAGAATGAGAGTGAGAGATGGCCATGCAAGTATGACAGAATGTACTTTGCACTACTTTGCCTAACCATGTTTTCCTTCCTCTTCGTCTCCTCCTCCTGCACGTAACCCAGTAGGTAAGCCTGCCTGGCGAGGCTTCTGCTCATCTGATCGGAGGGAGACAAGATGGGATGACATGATTCAGTAGGAGTGCTCTGAACTTCCGCGCTTGCATGACACTGCATTCTTTCATCCCATTCCTCCCCACTCACACTCTAACACTTACCACTTTCTGGTCACTGTGCAGGCTTGCAAGCAGCGATAGTTGAATAGTAATAGACAATGGTTCGTGGCAGTCGTCGTCTTTTAGGACCAACCACCCGCCTGGTGTTGCTGCACGTGTGGGTAATATCGATAGGGAACCATGCTCTTCCCACATGACTGTCCTCTTCTCAGATGTGATCGGGAACTCGTCATGTACGTGATAGAGAAACTCCACAGCCTCATTAACCCTCAAGGGTTTGCCAAGTTACAACTTACCAGTCCCAAAGTCTTGTCCGGTCTAACGAGGGTCCCCCCTCCCCATGGTATGATGGGACTCTGAGAAGACTTGGCCTCCCCGCTCTACCATTTACATTGCAGGGGTTCAACCGTTCCCCAGTCTATTCAAGAGTCTCGAGGTGTGGGGGGAGTTTCAAAGTGGAGTTTCTGCAAGTTGATATATCAAACTTTCACAGACCCTTGTCAACGGGCCATACATAGCAGACCGAGTCCCACAGAAACCACAAAAGCAACCATGTGAAAGACAAAGACTGTCTTCAGCAAAGCAGCACCTGCCACCTACCGCTGCGCCGCGCATTTGTTAACCCGTTTGGATGCAATGCTTCCCACCACGGGGGTTGTCTGGCAGTCTGCACCTTCTACTAGGGGGAAAGAGTGCATACGTTGCCTTACCTTGACGGTCATGGTGATGTTGCAACGAGGCTTACGTTTATCCCGCTTCCGGTGATTATGCAAGGCACAGGTGTCAGTTTGTTGCTCAATCTCAGGTTTCACCAAAGTCCCCGAGTTGCCGGTGGGGAATGCTCGTTCTTACTGAATAGCTTGTCTACCGGTCAGCTATCTGCATCCTTCATGAGAAGATGAGCAGGCAACATCGCCGTCCAACCAACCAACCGGTTAGTCAGAGCCATGGCGTCTTCAACGGTGCGAGCTGCGCCGCAACGCTGCATATCACGGAGTTTGTAAACAAAATCCCGAACGTTTGAGTCTTAGCTCAGCTCAATGAGGGAGAGAGGGGGGGATAAAAAGACAGGGCCTAGCTCGCGATAGCTCGAGACTGTTTCTGGCATTCCCGTTACCTACCCCACGCTTCACTCAATCTATCCATACATCCAGCATCGCTCTCTGGCTTCGCTGAAATCTTGTATCTCGCCACTTCCAAGGCTGACGCTACATACTCCCGTTCTCGGCTCGACCGTTTCTCCTTCTTCTCGGTATCCCAATCCAATATCGCTCAAAGGAGTCAAGATGCAACCCCCTCTGCCCTCCGTCACGCCGACATGGCGCAACGACACCTACGAGGCTATCTCGCCCTCCCGCCCGGAGCTCAGCGCGGCGGGGAAGACGATCATCGTGGCAGGCGCGGTAAGTTCTACGATATCCAATTTTCTCTCCCTTTCCCCTGGTTGTGAATATCGACCCTCGCCCAGCCCCCCGTCCACGGCCCCTCTGTGATGACCTCTCGCCTCCGAATATGCCTGGCCATGATCCAAAAAGATCGGAGCTTTTGGCCCTCCCCCGTCACAACTCTATATCGCGCCAGTTCTGTGTCCGCAATATATCTGTACGGGTACCTTACTTACCTAGGAACCTCTCTGTTGACGCTGTGTCCTTCTCTTGATAGGGTAGTGGAATCGGCCGAGAGACCGCCCTGGCCTTTGCTGCTGCCGGGGCCGCTCGAGTCAGTCTCCTGGGCCGCACAGAGGCCGCCATAGCCGAGACGGCCGCCTCCTTGCCGTCGTCTGTGCAGAGTGATGTTCACGCCGTGGACATTACTGACGAACAGACGTTGATCAAGGTGGCAGCCGCGATCGGCAAGTGGGATATTCTTGTTTTGGCCTCTGGCTATGTGTCCAGCCCGTCGCCCGTCGCAGGGTCGGCTACCGATGACTGGTGGCAGAGTTTTGAGGTAAATCAGACTACCCTTAACGACGATAATTTTCTGTCTCTCTCTCTCCACACAAGTCGGTAGCGAGAAAGAGATAGAGAGACAGGGAGTGAAAGTGAATGAGAGGGCCCGAGCACTTACACCGACCTGACAGACAAACACCAAAGGAACATACCTCGTCAGCAAGGTGTTCCTCCCCACGGCGAACCCTTCGCATGCGTCCATCGTCGCACTTACTACCGGCACAACGGCGTTGCCGGCAGTCGCCTTGCCTGGTCTGTCCGCCTACATGGCGTCCAAGCTAGCTCAAACGAAAATCATCGAGTTCCTAGCGGCGGAAAACCCGAACATCTTCGCGGTAACCCTTCACCCGGGCATGGTCGAGACCGACATCTTCACCAAGAGTGGCGCCAAGGCCGAAGCTCTCCCCATGGATAAAGGTGCAGTTCCATTGTCTTTTTCATACTAGGCTACGACCCTTCCCTCCCCTGTCCACCCATCTGCCCAGATTTCCCTCTCCGTCCCGACACTCCCCTCCACTCGCTTCCTCTCCATCCCCCTTCATAACAACCCTGCTTCTCCTTCCCGTTGCAGCTCTAGCGGGCCGAACAAGGTGCTGACATCCCGCGCGCTGGCTTGCAGTCCAACTCCCTGCCCACTTCACGGTGTGGCTAGCAAGTCCCGAGGCGGCGTTCCTCAATGGTCGTACTGTTTGGGCCAACTGGGACGTCGAAGAGCTCAAAAAGGGTACCGGCGCGATCCAATCTGGTCAGCTGCTGACCAGCGGTATCAATGGATGGCCATACACTAGCCTTGCTTGAGATAGCTCCGGAATAGACGATAGCAACCTCATGGGTTGCTCACCATGTTCGCCCAGAGATAGTCCAATATATCAATGTTCTTACGTATGAATAATAGGGCCTCGGCATTGGTGATACATTTGTTGAACACTGGGTAGAAATAAATGAAAAATGATACGATTTGCTTCTTGGTTACCTTGGCTAAACTCTAAGTGACTACATACTTAATTTGTCTAAACATAGTATAATCACCTCAACTCGAAACACAGCGACAGGGGACCCGGATTAGAGGTGAACTGATCCCTCACGTCGTCAAAGACTCGGTTGCCCGTCTCTCCTGGTGCGAGGCGGAAATGGTACTTCTTCACAAGTCTGGCAACAACAAATCTCATAGTGTCGGTGGCCAGGAAACGGCCAAGACAGCTGTGGTGACCTGCAAGAGACGGATTAGTCGACCAAAAGCTATCATATAGCAGACAAAAGACAAAGATCGCCATACCTGTTCCAAATGGCGCAAAAGCTGCAACATTGCGGATCATCTCTGGCCGCGTACTCCATCGCTCAGGGATGAACTCGTTGGCGCGCTCGAAGCAGTCCTCCCCTGTAGATAATGTGTGAGCTGAGAACTGACGAAAGCAACCCTCTATGAATTTACTTACTTCGGGATATAACGTGACGCGGGGCAATGATTGTCGTGTCGGGCGGGATGAATGTCCCACCGATCGTGGCCCCGTTCTCCGTCGTCTTCCTGGCCCCGCCGGTGAGAAGGGCTGGGTACAAGCGGAGACCTTCGTTGATGACAGCATTGAGGTGCGAGAGGCTCGTGAGAGTCTTGAGGTTGGTAGCATCGACGTCTCTCAATTCTTCATAGACCTTCTCGGCGTGCTCAGGGTGCTTAGCCAACTCGCAGAAGATACCAATCAAGGCAGCAGCCGTCGGCTCGCTGTATGTTTGTCAATAAGTGAGCGCCCACGAGATTGGAGAAATCGACTTGCCTTCCAGCAACAATTGCGAGCAAGCTGTCGCCATAAAGCCATGGCAAACGATCCTTGAGCTCAGTCTGGCCGTCGTTCAGCTCCATCAAGTAGTAGGCGAGATCAGGAATGGCTGGCTTAGGAGTTCCTTCATCAAGTCTAACACGCATCTGTTGCTCACACCAGGCGACCATGTCGAACCAGTCCTTGAGAACGCTGATTCGCGGTCCCAGCTTGAAGCCGACCTGGATGAGCCATGGAGCAGGGCTGAACGGTCCGAGCAGCGAGAGAGCACGCTGCAGCCGCACGATAATGTGGTGCCACTGCTGCTGGTGCAGCATATCAAACGACTTGCTAAAGACAAAGTCTCCCATGACATCGAACCCGAACCAAAAGAACAGGTTCCGCACTTCCGAAGCAACGTGCGATTTGGCATCCGCCTCGATGCAGACGTCCAGCTGCTCAATATACTTGAGAATCTTTGACTCGTGTTGAACAAGGGCTGTTGTGCGGTACGGCTTGTTAGAGATAGGCTCATGATTCCGAAGATCTATGGGGTAAATACCTTGTGCCGAGAATCCACGGTTCCATTCACGCCGTCTGGCAGCATGAATGGGCTTGATGCGTGTTGTCACAAGCGCACGATCGGGGTGCAGAATGTCGTACCACTCAGACTTGATGCATTCAGACCGGGGACCATCTACAGCCATGAAGACTCCTGGGTGGAAAACAGTGATTTCACTGGGCCCTGGCTAGTCTATCAACAGAGGGTTCAAACAAGTTTGTTTCGGATGACCACTTACCTGTCCTCACAAAGTCGCCATACTGCTCGTGTAAATTCTCCAAGAGCAGATGATTCTTGCAGCCTCTGCAGGCCCAGACGTGCCACAGCTTGGTGACTCGGGCGTACCATGGTCCTTTGAAGCCAGCAGTTGACAAACGATGGAAGTAGGATCTGTAGAGGATGATACTGGTAAAAAGTCCAGGCAGGTAACCAGCGGATAGTATCAAGAGAGAGTGACATAGATCACCAACAACTGAGCCCTTGTAGTAACGGCTGAGAGCCGCGAAACAAGAGAACAGCCAGAAGTGACCCAGAGCAATCTGAGGAGCCTGTACATGCCATTCTCCGTGAATGAAAATGCCGAAGTGAACGGCGACGCCACAAAAGAGTCCGAGGACATAGACCAGGACGGCCTGGTAACTTGAATCGAGAAGAACACTCATGATGAAGTTTGTGTGTTGCACTTGGTTACTTCCATCAAGCTCGAGGCGCTCTTCTCTTGAAGTCTACCGCCGATAACTCGTCCTGAGCCCGGAATCGATAAACATCCGCCAGTCGAGCAGTCATCGAAACCTGACGTGATGTCTAGTGCCATCCGCGGCTGGGTCCAGTCCATCCCTCGACAATCTGTCGTGAGTTACCTGAGGGGTAACAGCATGCCACAGGAACTGACTAGTGTCCAACAACTGGGATGTAATCCAGCACGCGTCGTAACGTCTTCCATTCTATCCTAGAGGCCATACTCGTTGATCAAAGGTACATAGATGAATATCGTGCCGCGGTGATCATGGGTCATCCCGATAACCTTGATATCCGGATACCGACTGGGTTGTCCCTTGACGGTCGTTGACCGGGGTCCAGGGAAGTGAGAGGGTCTGCGTCCCAAACTGTCATACCCCTGATGCAGAAACAAAGTCGTAAGGATGCAACCCTGCAGTGGAACCTGCTTGAACGGTACCGGAAACGGTTGGCCGGCTCAGTGTCGTATGTTGGTGCAATACGGCCGCCCGCGGGGGAGATGCCGGATGAGCGCTCGGCGCTACGGCGACTAATGCTTTGCCGCAATCCTACACAATCTTAGACGTCTCGGGCTCGGAATCCTGCCATGATTTAACAGTGACCGAAGTTCCAACGAAGTCTTTTGCTTTTGCAGAATCACTCGTATCGCATTACTCATCATACCATCTCTCAAGATGGCTGCAAAATACGACTTTATCATTGTGGGTGGCGGCGTCGCCGGCTTAGTAGTTGCCACTCGTCTGTCCGAGATCCCAGATGTCCAGGTCCTAGTGCTCGAAGCGGGCGAAGACCAAACGGCAGACCCTCGAGTCAATATTCCCGCACTGGGTCCCAGTCTTGTCAAGACGCCGTCTGACTGGCAGTTCCGAACGGTGCCCCAAGTAAGTGTTTTTCAGACCAGCAGCTGCTTTTTGGGAGTCCGGTTTACTGATAGAGAATTGCTTGCAGGATGGCCTAGGTGGTCGTGAGATTGCTGTCCCTCAAGGTCGTCTCCTTGGCGGCTCAGGTGCACTCAATGGCCTCTCCTTTACCATCACCACCCGGTCCAACGTTGAGGCGTGGGCCAGCTTGGGCAACCCCAGCTGGGACTGGCCTACGTTCAACGAAGCCTCCAAGAAGGCCTACTCCATCGCTTCTGGTGAGGGCACAGGGCCACTGAAGTTGTCTCTGCCGGACAACGTCGAGTCTTTCTGGCCCAAAATCTGGCAAGATACGATCCGTAGTCTAGGCTTCCCGGATTCTTGTGACCCCTTAAGTGGGCAGGGAGTCGGCAGCAGTCTCACACCGGACACTATAGACCCGGAGACAAAGCAGAGGAGTTACGCCGGCAGCGCGTATCTACAGTCGGCAAAGTCTAGATCCAACTTGACGGTTGTGACCGGAGCGTTGGTAGAGAAGATTGTCTTCAGATTAGAGACTGGCGAGATTGTTGCCGATGGCGTTCAATACACCAAGGATGGGGAGACGACAACAGCAACAGCACAGAAGGAGGTTGTGTTGACTGCTGGCACCCTCAACTCGCCACGGATTCTTGAGCTTTCCGGTGTTGGAAATGGGGAGCTTCTTCGTAAATTCGGCATCGAGGTCGTTCTCGACAACCCGCATGTCGGCGAAAACCTGCAGAACCACGTCATGGTCGGCGCAAGCTTTGAGGCCCTTCCAGAGCTCGACACCATGGATGGTATCATTCGTCAGGAACCGGCTGCTGTCGGAGCTGCGATGGAGGCATATGGTAAGGGTACTGGACCGTTCTCGAGAAGCGGCACTGTAGCGACTGCACAGCTTCCTCTGCCCGCTGGCGAGGATGTCACTCAACTTCTTGACAAGTTGAGCGGCCCCAAAACAAGCGCGACGCCAGAGTTCACAAAGACTCTCGAGGGATACGTGCGATCCGTCCTGACGTCGTCTTCGGAACCGTCGGGGTACTATCTGTCGTTGCCGGGATTCGCATTGTTCAGCGGAGACGGAACTATGGCAGCGCCGCCGCCTGGCGAGGAAAAGTACTTTACAATAGCGCTCCTCCTCGCTCATCCCCTGTCGCGAGGGTCAAGTCACATCACTTCTGCGTCTCTTGAATCACCAGCGGTCGCCATCGACCCCGCGTACCTATCGCATCCATTCGACGTCGAGGTTCTGGCCAGACATGTCCAGCTCCTGGAGAAGATCGCCGCAAGCGAGCCGCTCCGAAGTCAACTGAAGCCGAGCGGAAAGCGCAACCCTGTCAACGCCTTGACAGACCTCGAGGAAGCCAAAGAGTTTGTGCGTAAGACAGCAGTTGGCGCCCATCACTTCACGGGTACTTGCTCCATGATGCCTAGGGAGCTTGGTGGAGTGGTAGATGAGAAGCTCCGGGTGCATGGAATCCGTGGCTTGCGGGTGGCTGATGCTTCCATTGTGCCCATTACAGTGCGTGCCAACCCTCAGGCAACCGTTTATGGCATCGCCGAGCGGGCTGCCGATTTGATCAAGTCGAGTCTATAGGCGCCATTTGTAATGAATAGGGTGTACGGCCTCGAGTTGTACATTCAAGTTGGAAGTATCATAGCAACGAAGAATTTCGGTGAAATCGGGTTCTATCCCTGAGTGGGATGGAAGCAGGGATCATGAGGTGGTGAGCGCAGCAATTGAGTTTTGAACAGTTACTTCGAAAGGCCATGATTGATAAACAGACTTCGCTGCAGAAATATCGTCCATAGTGTCAAATGTCATCGTAGTCGCATTAAGGTTGTAGTTTGTTTTGGGAAGAATGTCACTACACATTGATGGGCGGCTTGCGGCAAATGGCCAGCTGGTTGGCGGATGCTTCCCTTGAACGCGTTCCTATCGCGCTTTTAATGGATAAAGTACCGGTACTTCCTCGAACCCACCGGGACCACCCAAACAAATGTACCTTGCCAGGAAGCTACACGTGACGGCGAGCTCACCTCGCGTCCTCCAACCCGGCCGCGTCGCTAACAATTTCGCGTCAAAATCGCCTTCACCTTTCGTAATTGCCTGCAGGCTACACCCACACCGGTCTTTCTGCGCAAACAACACTCCGACAGCAAACCTCAAGATATCGTCCTGCGTATGCCCTGACATCGACTCCGACGCCCGCCAGCTCTTTAGCTCTTCTCAATTGCATGCCTCACCCGATTGCCCACCATGGCTGAACAGGCAAAGGGCTTGTTCGCAGAATGTACCTTCGCCTTTGTGCCGAGTGCCCACCTAGCTCCCAAAGAAATCAGCGAGTATGCCGGCATTGTTGAAGGTCGTGGCGGCACGGTCCTCGACCCAAGACGCGATGGCTCTCTCAGACTCGAAGCGGTCTCTCACATCATCTCCAACACCATCGACTTTCCCCAGTTCACCGAGACCCAGGCCTTTATGATCCCAGTCGTCAATACCGACTGGATTAAGGCATCAGTCAAGAAGAACAAGCAGGCACAGGTCCGGCCATACTCTCCCGATCCGCGCATGTTCTTTTCCAAGGTCATCCTCACAACTGCTGGTCTGCCTGAAATCGACAAGGAGACCATCATTGGTGCTACGCTGGCTATGGGCGGCATGGAAGGCGCCGATGTGACACGACAGACCACTCATATCTGCGCTCTGACTACGGAAGATCCTAAATGTGTCATCGCCAATGAGAAGGGTCTCAATTGCAAGATTGTATTGCCCCACTGGTAAGTCTGTAAAGTCCTTATGCTTCGAGCCACCTCTTACACATACACTAGGTTCGAAGATTGCTTCAAGCTTGGCAAACGTATACCCGAAGGCCCCTATCTGCTCCCCAATCCCGAAATCCTTAGCCACGATGAGAACCAAGGCGAAGTGCAAGCTCCCACATACGACCAGCTCAACGGGGCGACCTCAACAAACCCCAACCATCTCAGTGATGGCCCGAGAAAACCAGCCACGATATTTCGGGATAAGGATGTCATGCTTTCATGGGATCTCAGCATTACTCCACGATCACTGGAAGCTGTGAAGCAACTCATCAACAATGGCGGTGGCAAGGTGGTCGACAACGTTGACGATTGCGACTACTTTATTTGCCAGTATCGTGACGGGGAACAGTACATTAAGGCTGCTCAGTCAGGGAAGGACATTGGCAATCTCTCGTGGCTTTACCACCTCATAACGCATAATGAATGGACGTCTCCGCTCCGCCGTCTACTTCACTACCCGGTTCCCAGAAATGGCATCCCCGGATTTGAAGGTCTCAAAATCTGTCTCTCCAACTACGGCGGTGACGCTCGCATATACCTCGAAAATCTGATCAAGGCGACCGGCGCCACATACACCAAGACGATGAAGGCCGAGAATACACACCTCATCACAGCAAGGAGCAGCAGTGAGAAATATGAGGCGGCCAAGGATTGGAACATCGAGACGGTCAACCACCTGTGGATCGAAGAGAGTTACGCCAAGTGTGAGATGCAGAGGGTTACTGTCCCCAAATACTCTCATTTCCCCGTTCGCACGAACCTGGGCGAGGTAATCGGGCAGACCTTCTTTGATGAGTATTGCTTGCGAGAAACGTACTACCCGGGTGGTGGAGAGGGCTTGTCGCCCCAAGCGACACGGAAGCGCAAGATCCTTGAAGCTGCTCAGGAGAACTCGTACTTGCATGGGCCTGCCGAAGGGGTTGTGATTGGCAGACAAGAGGACAAGAGTGAAGAGGCTATCGACGACAGCTTCATGACGCCTATACGCCCTAAGAAAGGCGGCCGCGGAAAGGAGAATGATACCCCCTCGGAAATGTCGACTGGAGGCCGAAGCGCCAAAAGCAAGGCTTTGACCAACCTACAGCGCATCGCCCCCGATATTGCGCTGTACGAGAAGGAGAAGAAGCGCAGCAAGGATAAGCAGGGCCCATGGGGTGGTAAGCGTGCTGCAGACCAAATCGACAGAGAACGGGGTCGCACATCAAGCCCAGCCC